TCTGATAGAATCCATCAATCAGATCCATGGACGAGAAGACGTTACTCTGTGACATACCATCTATGATCACGTACTTTCTCGGTATCGGCGTCTGAGCCGGTACGGTAGCAGAATTCAACTTGTTGTATGCGTGCACTATCCGCCATCCTCATGTGTCCTTTCGCACACAGAAGGTAGGAGAGCTGTAAGGGGAAGTTGATTCCCTCACATATCTCGCTGAAAACAGATGGGCAAAGTACTTATTGATCGCTTGCACTTTTTTACGAGGTAGTGACCACTGCTTCATGACGCAGTACTTCGAGCCAGGTTTGAGCTCGATTTCGTGTCGAGTACCTTTATCTTTAGGCAACTCGCAAGGCACGGATTCAGGGTATACATCCTTGAATTCGATCAAATCATTATACAAAGAATTTGCCTATAGAGACTTCCAGGATTGAGATATATACCTCTCAATCCGAGTCTTCTCATCGAGGACGCTTTCGACTATCGATGAACTGCTGAGAACCCGTTCGGTCTCAGTAAAAACCCGATGCCGATCGAATATCGATGACGTACTCGTCCTCCGCGACGAGTACACAAATCTGCTTGACTTTACTACTACACTGGTCACGCAAGAACCGTTTCGGTTCAAGCGTTGTCAATTAAGTTATTTCAGCAGTTAACTTCGGAGGCACTATCAGATCAAGTGTATAAGCTTCTACACTCGACCCTTCATCTACCAAGACGTTCAACTTCTCGGTTACTTCTTAGGAACTTGTTCCCACAGGTTACTGAAGACCCAAACCCTTAGCATGAGACTCTTGAGTAATTCCTTCTCAAGCACGTGAGGACTTATTCCCTCGACATCTTCTGACTGTGGCTGTGCAACCACAGTCAGGGACTTATCCTCTACGGTCGACTCTCCAGTCGACCTAGGACAACCGTGTTGCCCTTTGGTGGCAACGGGTTTCTTTTGTCTAAGATGCTGCCCGTAGGGCATTCATCCATGTCCCGATACACTCGACTTATTCGATTGGTGGACCTTCGGCGCTTCCTGTACTTCTGTACAACCGCCGAGAGCTTGCTACACAGTGTAGTGATCATCTACACTGAGGTCTTGTGCAGTAGTGCTAACGACCGTTCCGCAAGTGAGGCCATCGCACTCACTCGCAGTGCATACACACGCTTGTGGACGCTGCATGACGTTCATCAGATCGTCATCTGATGAACAAGGGGCAGGTATCGATCATGATTGAAGCTGCCAGCTCACTATTGGCTCGTACCTATTGAGCCAAGGAAATCCCAGGATGACATCAAATTTTCCATCCATATTCAGGACGATAAAATCATCATCGTACTGCTCGCTCCCTAACGTGTAGTGGATTCCGACTACACGTTTCTTTACAGTGATCGATGCGTCTGTCGCAAGGCGCACTATCATTCTCGTTGGAGGGGTATCCCGCTCCACGAAGTTAATACTTCCAGACTCTAGTGACTGGCGACGAACAAAGTTGTCCGACGCCCCACAATCAACTAGGGCGCGAAGTGACAAAACTTTTGTCACTTCCAATGTCAAGGTGATGAGGGACACTTCATCACCAAGTGCAGAGACACACAGGGACTGTGTGTCGGGAGTAACCTTCGTCAAGAGATTTGCAAATTCTCTCGATGTTGCTGGATCAGTAGGGCGCTCCGCCCCTACTGACCCCGACCATTTTTTTATGGTCGGCTTCGCTGTTGCGGCTTTGCAACAGTATCAGAACCTCGTCCTCCAGTTCTTCTAACTGGTGGACGGTTACTGCGCTCAGCACCACGGGGTTCTGAGCTGGGGATACTGCATTCGTATGCATAGTTTCTCAGCTTATGAAAGCGATGGCATCCCACCATTTGCTTGTCATTCACAGGGCGAGATTTCTCGCCCTCAACATGACCGAGGTCCATTGGTTCTGGACCTCCGACCGCTGATCGTCTCGGTGGAGGATATGAGCTCGAGATAGCATGAGCCTGTCTCATGATAAATTCTATCTGTTATGCAGCTGCAATTACTTGTTTAAGCGTATTTAGATCCAGACGGAACAGGTAATTCCTTACGGCTTCCTCTGAGAGCCCTTTTTCTGAACACAGTAATCAAAGTGTGGAAATCTACAGGGTTTGCCGTTATACTACTCGCAAGGAGTCGTATATGCTGATCATATTCGTGCACATCACGCTTACCCTGTTTGAGTTTCAGGAGCTCAGATAGAGCCCTAAACTTAGCCGTTGGCGGTTCATACGTTTGTTTCAATCGGGTCTTAGAGGGTTTTAGAGAACCGAAAGCATATGGGTCGCTCATCTGCAGCCCTAATGCCCAAGTCTTGGCACCTCCTGCCGAGTGGGTTTGAGAAAATGTTAAGTTCATCTGCTCATCGTCGATACGACGTGCCTTTATGGCTTTTTCAAGTTCGACGAACCATAACTACAGGGAGTCTTCCTCGACTCCTCGGTACTTGAAGATATCAGTCTTCAAGGTTTTGCAACGACGCGTGTTTATCGTCCCGTCCACAGCAGCATTGAATTTCTGCTGTCTCAACAGCTCTGTCTGTTGAGCACCGAATTTTCTTAACCCTCGGTCTGTTGAGAGCCTTGCTGGTGAAGCAAGGGTACTTTCTCTTGTTCGACGCCAAGTTCATGTTAAATGAACCTGGCGATAGCGGCATGTTGTTGGTCTCTGTCAAGATACTCCAACATAGCGGTAACGCCGATGTCGCCCACGGCAGAACTCATTTGCCCTACCACGGCCCATTCGAGGTCCCTTCAATGGGCTAAGTCTTCACGTGTGGCATGAATGCTCTCTCACTTATCCATCATGTTCATGATGGAAATTATAGGTGGTCGCTGAAAGGACTACGAAGTGCTACCAGGTGAAACGGGGCACGCCCTTATTTCAGATCAACACAAGGTAGCGTGCGCCCGACGTCACGTACACGTGGCGTGAGGAAGCGTAGCGAAGTAGGCAGAACTCGAAAGCTCTGTATAAGAGAAAAAAGTAGAACTGTACTTAATATAGTCATGTTTTCCTGAATAAACCATCCTTTGTCTTATGCCAACTATATTAAACTCCAATCTCCTATGTGGTTTTCTTACTCACCACCCATTGCGAGCGTCCAGCAGCGATTGGTGGTTAATCTGGTTGATGTACCGTGAACATTAACCGTCAGGTGGAGCAACTTATCAAAGCACAATTATTACCCTTGGGGGTAATATTCCTTCAACCTTCTCCTTACGAGTAACGTCAATTGAACAATATCTGAATAGATAATATTCGAAAAATGATACAAAGATATCAATTTTTATGTAACGGGCTCACCCCCTTACACACGGATACTGTCACCATCACGTGTATGTCGTCATTAAGCAACATGCGCGTCTTCCCCCATGCTCAATTGATCGCGGCATGTGTAGGATCGTGGGTGTTGTGCAGTTGAGATCACGCTGTTGAGACTTCGAGAGTATCAAGAGCAGTAAGCATCGTAGCTGCTGAAAATTAAACTCGAGAAGAAAAAAATTGGGTCGGCATAGAGCTCCATTGACGATTAACGCTGTAGGGAAGAGCGACACATCACATCAAACAAGTCGTGAACTTGCTCGACATGGGTTATGTGTGCATATCACCAAATGATGGTTATGACCATTATACATGCTTCACGCAAGAATGCGATTCATTTGAACCAGTGTTGCTTGAAGAAAACACTTTGCGGCTTGCCCTTTGATGCTAGCAAAGCAACATCAGCGAACCACAAGCTTGATATGTGAGGTCGATACAAAGAAGTTGGTGGTCGAAAGAGGATGTCGAGTATGTGTATCATCAACATATCTGGTCACTGGCTACACATGATTTCGGTACAATATGGGCAGAGAATTTTTCATCTTTAAAGCTGCTCTTTTCCATAGATAGCGGCGATTGAGCTACTAAGGATGCAATAACACTACGTTTGGTGAACCCAATCAGCGACGTCGACTCTACTGTTCCTCTTACTCACGCGGACCAGAACCTGGTCAGTGTGGGATGCGATGTCTGCGAAGCATAAGGCACTAAGGAAGACGATATGGAATGAGCAATGGATCATAAATATGCCGTGGAACCAATCTACTGTGTCCATGCGCTGCACGCCTGTTGCAGTCTGTACTTCCAAAACAGAACAGGAAGCCCGATGGGATATTTTTGTCTGGCAGGAAACGTTGAGGCGAAAAATTGAACCTGGGCGCTATTTCGTGAGTTTTGTCCCTGTTTTGCCCTTCAGACCAGCTCGTACGTTCTGGCTTCTTGCAGGTCATCGATCCGTACGCATAAGAGATAAAGTCTATAAGACGCATCACCTTGCGAAATGCAATAGCACTTGACGGCGGGCACCATCGACATATCGCTTTGCTGCGTATTATCTCATCCGGTTCGTCGCGTCCATACTTGCATCTGTATCAGCGGCAGGGCAGTTCTTTCGTCTATTGCAAGCTGGCGAGCCATACTTGGCCCTCGGTTGGTCCGCGTAAGAACGGTTCAATGCTAATCCCTGGTCAGCAGTATAGACAGCTGGAGAGTGCGCCTCTCTATCCCAGCATAAAACATCCATGGCGCCGACCACGGTCCAAATCGTTGGTGTACTTTGGCTTCGGTTAATTGACATTCCGTCAGCATTGAAAACTACCTGGTCACACGTTCACCATCAGATTAGAATAGTCCATCGGGTAGTGAAGAAGCTCCCCGGGCATCTTTTGCTGGACGGTCGGCCGAAAGGATTAGAGAAGTGTCAGTATGAATTCAGCAAACATGCAGCATAAACAAGCAGTTTCTCTCTGCATCGTCCAACCAGATGATAATGTTGACGATAGCTCTTCGAATTGTAACAACCTCACAAAAATTAGTATAATTGTAGCGAAAGTCCAAAACTCCACCCTATCCACCCAAAGCCTGAAGCTTTCAACAACCCTGCAGTAAGTCATTACGCAATTTGACTTCTAGCTGGCAAAATCGACACTGAACCACGATGCACTTCGCCACCGTCGTGCTCTTCGTCTCTAGTGTGATACTAGCATGCATCACGAGTTCCACTGGAGATCCCGGACCCAACGTGACTGTGGCCAACCTCTCAGGTAGTCTTCGCTTCTCTACCAAGGACATCAATCAAATTTTTGCTATCCAGTTGCTAGGGGCGAATGCGACGACGAACCAAGACGAGAGAATGCTGTCCCCGTTCACCTCTCTACTGGAAAAGATGCAGCGTTTCATATCAAATTTTGTCTGTCATCTTCGAGCATATAAATGGATCACGATCGACAAAAGCGCCGAAAAGGTCTTGAACCGTTTCCACCCCAAAACAACTGTCAAGGGAGACACGTTCAAGCTTGCGCAGGACTTCTGGGACGGGCTAACGCAGTCGGATTTGAAGGCTTTGTTGCTTTTCTTCAAGATGAAGAATAAACGGAGTCGTGGCGCAAAAGTCGCGTTCGTCGAAGCTCTCACAACCAAATATGGAGCCACCGAAATGGTTGAGGTGTTACTGAAGGCTCGAGACCCTGACTTTGACGACAAGTTTCGGGCGGAAGTGGCGACCCTGTTGTTAGATGATTTGTCATGGAGTTGGCGGAAGAGTGGAGAACGTGTTGACGACGTGTTTTGGCGCATCCACCGACCGGTCGGCGATGAACTAAGTAGGCCACAACAAAAGTTGTTCCAAGAGTTCATATCCCCTGGCCACAAATCTCAAGCCATGCCTTCATTCAAAGCAGAGGCAAATGACTTGGCTGATGTAGAGGGGATATTATCGCTTTTGACGGGAGCGGAGAAAATGTCTGGCAAGCCAGGCAGAATTGCGCGTGATGTGGAAAATGCGATATTAATAAAGTGGGCCAAGGACGGGAAGACTCTTTTGGATTTACTGGCTGTGCTGAAAGTGCCATTCATCCACATATACGACACTCTTTTTTGGAATCTCCTCTTCAAATTTAGTAGATTAGTCGTGGAATGTGGACAGAAGCCGATCGGTGTATGGGACGCTCTTAGGAAGTTCTACGGTGACGGCCAATTTGTCAATGCGTTATTGGAAGCACGAGTCCAAAAACCAATCCCTGCGAAAGCCTACTGGTTCAGAGAGGATTGGCTGTTCGAGCAGTGGGCGTCGGAGGTACATGCTGATGTGGCAAAACTCACTCAAAATCTTCGCGATACAAAGGATGTGTCTGAAGAAACGGTGGCACGAATTGTGCGCGAGTATGCTAATTGGTACAAGACAAATACGGCTTAGTGCAATCGCTAAGCCAGTTCTCTATGGCGGTGATGCTTGACGGAGGGCGTTTCATATCGTGGGAGACCATGGTGCATCGTATGAATGTGAGAAGCACAGCTGCAAATAAGGATGAATGCGTTGGCAAATTTAGTGGTAGATCATTGGTGTGATTGTGTGTGCGCCATACAGAGAGATAGCCCTTCGTTTTATTACTGGCATTATTAGTGGCGGCAGGTAGCAATATATCTTTCGGTCCGGCTGGATCATTTTAAGCATCTCATTGTTTGTAGTCTCATCGCGTACGTGTTCCCTGACGCGTGCTTCTGTTTTTCATAGTTTCTAAAATAGCCCAGCTGGTTCTTTAGCACCATTTTACTGTCTGTAACCTCATGAGCCTTGAATACTGTCTATTGTGAAGTTTTTATCTTTAGTCAGGCACCTGGCAATCACATCTTTATGTTGGCCTTAATTGTGTTAGAAAAGTGTGAACTTGCAGCGACCATTCTTAACATTTGCACAAAAACAATTCGACCGTAAGCTGGAAATAGCAAAACACGCACGTCCAGTTTGTATATGCATACATTTTAGCGATCCGTGATCAATCCTAAGCGCTTTGGCACCCTACCGTACGTTGCCTTCGAAGTCATTGGCCCGTGTCTGTTTGCGTGGACATCACTTTTCCAGTCATAGGTGGATGTATTGTGGTCTTTATGACTAAAATTGCCACTCACGCGTGTTATCCTCATGGAGTGAGTCAGGTTCGTGACCTGTACATCGACAATATCAGTCAGTGCAACGATACGTTCAAGGCAGATGAAAGCCGAGAAGGATGTATTGAAATTTTTTTATAGAGCCAAGCTTACTTTAAAAGGAAAAATGTGGTGACATATAAAATGCCTTCTGTGTTGTGGAAAGTATACCAGTGTGGTGACAAGACTTTCCAGACGGCTAAGTTGAAGGGTCAGTGTCTTTCGCATACTGCAGAAGGATTCGATGGATGATATCAGCAGACAGTGAAGTCCCAGTATGGGAAGGAGGTGTTGATGTAAACAGACTGCGAAGTCCCAGAGGGTAGTTGCTGCAGTTAGTACTCTGGGAGACGACGCCGTATACATGTAGTAGGAAGGTAGTAGTTTCATTTAAAGATAATAAACATTCAGTTCCAAAAACTACGTTAAGGGCGAAAGCGGGTTCTCAACACAACATTCCGCATCTCTTACATCGACCATGACGTCAGCAAACAAGTACAACACTTGAAAACGACGCGCGTTTGACAAAACGTAAGCAGATAATCGACACATACGCTGGTTGAAATTAAACATAGAAGTCTAATGTAATAAGGTTCATCTCTTGCATGACATAGTTAAACGTAAGATTGTATAAAAAGAAATGCCACGTTAAAAAGCCCTCCTATGATATCACAACACATAGTAACATTCTCTTAGTGACCCATGGGTACACTCATTGGTTATTACATCAAATGTAATCAACACATCAATTGCTGCTCGACGCGCGCAATGCGTGGTAAATGACGTCAAATTACTTGTCCTTATATTTATATTTTTAAGTTGAAATCAATTGACAGAAGAAGAGATATATACGAATACATTTATACTTTGACTACTACTAAGATGCATCGTCGTAGTAGTTATAGCCTTCCTCTGTACCGTGTAGATGTAGTGACTTGACACCTACGAACTCTGTTGCAAGTGAGAGTTTGCTTCGTACTGTCTATCAGTTCGGAACTCCTAGTGCCCGTTTACACAAAAATAAAATGACATCAAAGTGTTTCTGGTGAACATATACTACTCTTCTTCTGTACCAGAGTTACTCGGAATATTAGCCAGAGGCAGAATTAGGGCTCAACAAGCCACTTACTTCGTTTACCTAACCGACGACTCAGAGAGTAATCATCACAAAGGAACCAATGATTTTTAGACCCTTAAAGCTATTTAGCACAATTGAAGCCATGAGATTTAAATCTGATGAAAGTTTTAGCCTACTGAGCATAAGAATTAATAAACAATTGACTATGCGCTAAAGTGTAACATTTCATAAGGCACCTGACTCTCAATTCAAAAATGCGGTCAGATTTTTTTACTAACTGTGTGAAAATTATGACACGAAGCAGGATGTCATATTTTTTTTTAACCGAAGTAAATCTTATACGTATTTTTGTGGGTGGTCGACACGTGTCAGCGTCCTTTTACATACTGACTACCTTGCTGACTGGTAAAAATATGGAACCTTTACTATGTTTGTTCAAATGGGGTACCTATGCTGTTACCGAAAAGTAAAGTAACGTACACTAACACGGTGTAAGCAGGCGGTGCAACTTATTACGTATGCTATACGTATAGATAAAGGCTATTCCTTCCTAAAAACACGTTTAGAGGGAGAAGTAGGTGATACGTCTCAAATATAAATAATTTATATGAGCTTTCTTAATTATATAAAACTACGACCTCCGATATAGCATGTCCTAACCGCTCACAGCAAGCGGACAACCGTGTTGAAGGTCAATTTGGTAAACGAACTGACCTGTAATCATATGACATGTGGCACAGTGTCTACTGTATCCTTCGCTGATAGTATTACGTCAACATTTATTCATTGTATGCAATATTGTGGAATGCTGTATATTAAAAGGATCATTTCATTTTACGCAATCTAACGTCAGTTGCATGTAATAAGATACCGCGTTGCATGAACCTCCTTACCAACAAGTCAATTTATTGACTGAGTGACAACTTTAGGGTGATTTATTGACCACCTGCAAATCACGTTGGAAAATAATCTGACTTGTTTGTCGGGCTTAACCCTTCATCGATTCTCATCGCATGGTAAACAAGTTATGCAGTGAGCAACAATGACTTTGTAGAGAGTGTCTGCACCGACGCGTGCAGCTTTAGATAAGGTGTCTAAAGGACGAAAAACATGATTTATCATCAGATTGCTGGGCTTAAAATCCTCAAATGTAAATTGATGTAAGAGTACGTGGTCCTGCAATGCGCATAGAAATTGAATTCATTGCATGGGACGCAGCCTGTAGAGCTACACTGACACAAATTTAATGCATCATTTACTGGCAAGTCAGATGTAGCTTCCGATTTAAGTCCCTTTTATGAGTATTTAGAGTGAAGCTAATAGTACGGATGTAAAAACTCAGAAGTCACGAAAAGGTGGTTATGAACAGGACAATTGAACATGGTAATCTTCAGGAGATGTAACATGTCAAATGACATAAGCTCTATTAAATAGAACGCGGCCCCGCTAAAGCGACGTGAGTAGACGGCTTAATCGAAAACAAATTTTCAATATTAGTGGTGGCTCAAGCCGGGGCCACCAAAATCAAAGCGACCGATTAGATCTTGACGATCAATATATTGTGTAGGGTGGCTTCCAAAATGTGTGATGAGCCCGCAAACTACTCATTATGCCATACTGTTGACTTAAAGTAGGGGAACTCCGACGCCGCGCATGGAAATGACTCACCGTATATATACGTCGGCTGGCCGATCGCACTCTTCGGTATACGTGGTGTAAAAGTGGATGTATGACTTTAAGGAGCTAGAACTTGGGCTACGGGTAAATATGTGGTTTTCAATGGACCAATGGGTGGCTACTCGACCGATTCGGTCGAGTGTGGACTTACAACTAAATAATTTAGGAAGATTAGCGCTCAGAGCCTTTCCTTGTTGTTCAAGGTGTTTAAAACACGTGGCCTTTGCGTGTACCCTGATGAATGCGTTAGGTGACCGCTTTCAATAGAGGATCTGGAGAGTTGCTACTCGAGACATACCTACCGGTCAAATTATTCCTGGAATCCTATTTTCACCTAATCTTGACACGCAACTATTTAAAACGAGGGATGGAGAGCACGTCGCATTACCTGAACAGGCGCAAAGTCTTAACAAATTACTATACCATGACGGTGTCCTTTTAAGAAGATCTTAAATTTAAAAGTAATAAATATTGTCCTAGTCACTCACTTAAGTAGTCAATCGTTACCTCTTACGCGATTGCAAATTTAACTGGCCATAAAATGCCTTATTTAGAGGAATTAAAGGTTGACTTCGAAGGACCTGCTGTCCACCTTAAGAGACCGGAATTTCGTTAAGATTCTGTAGTCCATTACTTTCTTTATCACTTAACTGGTGCCCTTGCCACGATCGTCACGTTACTTGGTCCAGTGTGTTCTCCTTCACCGACCCTTTCGACTTCGGAGCCCTCTTTTTATCTAGGCCTCTCTCGTGTGTGCGACTCCTTATCTCTACAATCGTCGGGCCCCATGATCGCCATTTTTATAATGTAGCTTCGCTATTTAAAGATTTATGCTGACAAAACACAATTTAAAAATGACCGCAATGTTTTTAGCTATAAGCTATAAAAAATCGTGGATGCCACCATGGTTGGATGCTGAAGGTTAAAAATATATTTTAAAAAAAGAATTTTTTGTTAAATACATTAACTGTTTCATTTTCTATAGTGTTTGCCATAGGCTATCAAATTAAGCTTATCCGCATAAACAATGTTTTTTATAACGTCATTGGTCTAGAAAATTGTATGGGTTGATGTCACAGGTAGGCCATAGCTTAGGATGCATTCATCGCAAATTATGCATCGTCGCATGTTAATCCTATCTTGACATATGATGTAGCTGGATACAACTTTATATGAGTACTTAAGCATGCGCGCAGTTTAGATTTAACCTATTGTCCTGTAAGTTAATTATATCACCTCTTGCATAAATTGGTCTTTCAATCGTTGTAATGACGATTTGAAATTGATTAACGGGACATCAAATTCTAATTTAAGCATTTACGACTGCACACATCTCCGCTAAGATGCATAAATGTTTGCATCCATATTAATTGTTGTACGTTTGTATTAAACTTTCGTTTATCGATATTAATTCGAAATTATCGGCTAATACTCGTATATCTGTCGGACGAGGCAATTTCCAACAAGCATTAGTAACATGAGAATGTATTAGCTATTCAATTATGGCGAATACT